TTCACACTGGTGTAATTTTTTCTACAACGGTTTTGTATTGCTTTACTATTGGGTATAACAAGGCGGGGTGATGGTGTTTTGACTCAAAAGAAGGATTGGCTAATAGTTGATTAGTTACTGAGATGTCTTCAAGAGTTTGCATACAAGAGTGAATATGGACCGACCAATTTACTTGATTTCATATGTACCATGGTTCTATTTGGGGGCACATGGTGGTGGCTCTTTATTTTTCATAGAATAGTGTGTATTTACCAGCCTTCGAAGGACAAGTTTTGGAATCCTCTTCACTGTTCATGGATTGTTATGAATTTTCTTTTTTGAAGTAGCAAACGTCTTTGTTTCCATCAATCGTGCCCTCATATACTTGTGCATTTTAAACCGAGAGATTGAGACTGATTATTTGAGCATCTGCGTTTGTTTTTTTATAATGTCCTATACCACCACTCCCTTCTTGAAAATGAATATTTTGCCTACTGTTGTGGATTGATTTTCCAGGTATCTATTTTGGCTGGAACCCTTGCTCGTTTGGATAGAGATGCCCCAGTTTACTCAAAGTATGTTCTCTTTTGAAGTTACTTGTTTGTTATTGGCTCCCCATCCTCCCCAAGATAAGAGTACTGAAAATAGAGAGTGATGATTCCGGACTCCTCAAAATTTATCTTCTCAATCTAAATGTCAAATTTAAAGACTAATTGGTCCTTGAGAAGGCACTCTAAACAGTTGAAAACCAATTCTGATAATCTCCCCTAGATCTGCTCCTGCAATTGTCATTCAGCAAACAATTTTATTTCGGGGGGGGGGTGCTACTCGTAATGCTCTTAGAAAGGAATAGTGAGTTAAAATTCTTAATCTGTTATTATCATAGGAGTTCCCACTTGAATTGTAAGTACAGTGGCACAATGACAAGGTGAAGCAAATAGAGTAGATTGCAAATAGCAGATAGTTCAACTTGAAAAGATTAAGAATAAACATGGGTATATTGTAGAATTTGAAGTAAAAATCTTTTTCAGATTAAACTTGAATGTAAATGGTTTTTTTAAGTTCTGCTTGAGCTTTTGAAATATTTAATATGGAGTTCTACTGAATATACCTATGCTGTTTGGATAGAGTAAACCAACTTCAACTAAACTTGTTTGGCACATTTTATCAAAATCCATGATGGTATCATGTGAGATTTCCATGTAAGTTACTTTTCTAAGATTTCTACTTTTCTTTTTGGTGCAGTGATGGCTACAATGATTTCAATACATTCTATATTCAAGTAAGCTCTGCAATTTTTCTACATTTTCTTAGGCTGTGAATGGTAGCAGCTGCTTTGCTTGCCCACTAGACACTTAAGCACAATCTCTTAGTCTTCTCTTTTGTTACTTACCTACAGGCTGCATCTGGAACTAAGGGCGGTTCAAGTGGCTCTCCTGTAATTGACTGTCAGGGCAGGGCAGTTGCTTTAAATGCAGGAGGGAGAAATACATCAAGTGCCTCTGCTTTTTTCCTCCCTTTAGAGCGAGTAATAACATATTTTTCATTTTTTTGTATTTGTTAAAGGATTGTTACTTCAGATAAGACACAAACTGTAGCTTTATTTCATTTTCTACACAGACAAACTGTAGCTTTATGATGGCATATCTCCCAGATATGTAGCCATTCACGCATAAAAACCATTAAATAAAATTATAATTTACACGTCATTTTTTTGCTCTCATGCGATGCGTTAAGCCTCCTTTATCCTTTTACACATCTTTATTGGATTTAGGTTTATTAATTTTCAGAAAAATTTATTGAATGCGCCCAATCAGTGTGATTTTCACTTGGTTTAGGTTGTAAGGGCTTTAAAGTTTTTGCAAAAAGGAAGAGATTCTACAGAAGAATGGAAGGCAGTTTCTATTCCTCGTGGCACACTTCAGGTCTGTTATTATTAATCCTTATGAAGGCTGGGAGCTCTTATGTCACTTACTAGCTAGCTTTCTGTCTTAAAAGCACTGCAGCTAGATATGCTTTGTTGGATGAGTCTAAATCACTTTCCTTTCTCAGACTACACAGTTCAATCCCACAGGCATTCAGTTCATTTTTAACTTAGATGTACAACTTCATATTCATTAGTTACGGACATATTTGTTATTTTTATTACGGAGTATTTTAGAGTATATAATTTGATACTTTAAGTTTGATTATTTGAATATTTGCATAAGATATATATTTTTTCATTTTAAATTGCGTTAAAAAAAAGTTCGAGGGCGCTACAACCGAACCCCGCTCTCTAGTCGTTGCCCCTCCAACAATTATATCCCGGCTCTGCCACTGAATATATCATTACATCTCTTTTAATTATTTATGAATATTGGGAGCTAATAAGTCATCAAGATTCTTTTATTCTTTACAATTGTCTGTTTGTTGAGTTCTAAATAAAATGCATATTCAGAACATCGGCTGAAACTTTCTTTCATATTTTTAAAATCCAAATGTCACTGGCATCTGCATATTGACATCTCTATTCCCTGCACGGTAATGGTAAGTTTCGAGTTTGGCTATTTATGGTATAGGTGACATTTGTTCATAAAGGATTTGATGAGACCCGTCGGCTTGGTGTTCAAAGTGAAACAGAACAGGTATATGTGAATAAGACTGAGGGTTTGTTTGTTAATCTGCCTCAAATAAATAAAATAATCATGCCTCTGTTACTAATCAGTTGATGCGAAGTTCATCTCGGCTGGGAGAAACTGGAATGCTTGTTGTTGATTCTGTGGTATGTCATATTTGATGCTTTTGTAACACAAGCGCACACACACTCCCTCGCCCGGGAGGAACTGGAACACAAGGTCCCCTCTAGCCCTTTTCAGTTGTCCCAGAATAATGTTCCCTTTCCTTTTTAGGGAACATCTGCGTGGGTGATTTTTTTGTAATTTTCCAAAATAAATCTTAACCTCACAATTTTATTTTCTTCATTCGCATTAGAACCTAAATGGTTCGGAAGGGAGTATGTCTTGTTTCTTGTATATCCCTTTTGACTAGAGAAAATATTGGTTTATTTCAGGTGCCTGGTGGTCCGGCTTATAATCGCTTAAAGCCAGGTGATGTGCTTGTTTGTATGAATGGGAAGGTTAGTGCCACTTTTTAAGTTGTTAGACAGGTGAACTTAATGAATGGTACATATACCTGATGTGCTTGGTAGCCATTCCAAAGTGCACATAAGTTCTTGGTATGCTGCTTGCAATCTTGTCCGTGAGTCAATGCATCAGTTTATATAAGGCTATAGCTTTTTTTATTTATGAATTGTTGCCCTACCATTAGCTATGTTGATTTCCACTCTCCTTTCCCATTTATCATCTACATTTCTGTTAAACAAACAATCAGTATTCTGCTCTGCAACTGGCGTCAAACAACTTTCATAGAGTCTTCAGCTTCAATTGCTTGGAAACTTTTATTTTCCAATATAATTTTTTTGGTATTAAAAAAAATTGCTTGATTAGTTGAATCTTATTTTGTTAAATTTCATGTGTTTTGGATGTTGTAAATAGATGTTTGAATCTTATTAGTTATTTGTAAATAGATGTTTTTACATAAAACTATATATAAGGACATGTTTCTATATATAAGTAAATAAGTTATACTCCCTCTCCAAATTAAAAGTCCACTTTGATTGAACACAATCTAAAAAAGTGTTGAAAAGTGAGAAGTATATGGTTGGAATTAATCTACAACAACAATCAAGCCTTAGCTCACTTGGTTGGGTAGGCTACATAAATCAAACGATGTCATTGCGCCCTATCATGTATCATATCTCCAGCGAGATCATTCATGCATAGATTACCATTGACCACTTCGTGCCACATGTCTATTTTTATTTGATCTACCCTTCTCACTGGATGCTCTATTCTTTTCTTCACATGTCCAAAGTTCAATAATAGGTGTCACTCCAAATTTCGTTCTCATATCTTCGTTCCTTATTCCTTACACAAAAATTGTATGGTTGGAATTGATCTTAAAGAATAAAGAGAAATAATGATGACCACGTATTCCTTACCAAAAAAGGAATTGGGCTTCTATTTTCAGATTGACCTATTTTGGAATGGAGGGAGTATGCGCGTGCACACACACACACAATCTGTTTGTATGAATGGGGTCTCTTGGAAACAACCTCTCTACTCACATTAGGGGCAAGATCTGCGTACACAAACCCTCCCCAGCTTTTGTGGGATTCTACTGGGTTGTTGTTATTGTATAATATAAGAGGATGATCAAATAAAGGTGTGTGAACAGTGCAAGGTTTTGGGCGCTGCGATTATTATGGAACAGAGGAAGTGTTACCTTTAAATAAGTAAAAATAATTAAATAAACACATTTATTTATTTATATGGACAAAATGGCAAAAAGTACTCCACTTTTGTCTAACACCCAAGCCAAAAAAACCACTCCCCCAGCTTTTCAAGTTTTTGCTTGTCAAACCTAGCAGAGCCAACCATAGTTATCAAGGCGTCGCATAGGCGACGCTTAGGCGCCTGGGCAAGGTTTTGTGGACGCCAAATTTGTCGCCTAGCTTTTTTTTCCTTGGGCGACTCTGTGTTGTACGGAAACGTCTCCATCTCGGAGACGCATCTCCGTTTTAGAAACGCAAGGGAACACACGAGATAGAGAGAGAAGACGGAGGAGGAGATAGAAAGAAGACTTATCTTTCTTGCAAATTATTTGTCGCTGGCTGCAGCTGCTTCCAGATCTGCAGCGACCTCTATCTCTCTATCATTTAGACTAGTGGACTAGGTCAAATGACTGGGCTAGATTCATTAAAAGACTATTGGACCTTCACACGAGAGTATAAGGCCCAAAATTTAATAGGCCTTTTAAAAGCTCACTTTATTGGAGTAGGCTTATATTTATATATAGTATAATACTCTATTTCATAAAGTTGGTATCAATTTTCATTTTAATTAATCACTAGTATTTCATACTATATGCTTTAAAATTAGTACCTATAAAATTATTATGGTCGCATAGCCCACTCGCCCAGCAAACGCCTAGGTGGGCGCCTAATTGCCTAGGCGATTGGAAGGTGCTCTAGCGCCCAGCCTCGCCTAGCTGCTGCAACAACTATGGGGCCAACTGCCGAACACTTAAGCTTCTTTGATCGTCAAAGTAACTAAAAATTGTCAAACCAGCCAAAAGCTGGCTGGAAAGCCAACTTCCCAACACACTCTTTATGGTTTTTCATATTTTTGTCCCAATATTTCTCCTTCAAACTTCTATTGCAGGTGACTACACATTTCCTCGATATCGAAACTCTACTTGATGACAATGTTGGAAACAAAATTGAACTTAAAATCGAAAGAGGCGGTGCCTCGTTGACCATCGACTTAATGGTGAGTTTGTGCTTCACCGAGCTTTTATTCTGGTGATTAGCTATTTTCATGCATGATGTATCCTATGGTAGATGATTGCAGAATTTTATATTGTTCTGCGTAACTTTTTTGTTGTTCAGTTGTTTTTGTTGTTATCATCATCACCATCATCATTATTTTTGGCTTTTATATGCTATCTATGCCATTCCATAATGATGGGCTAACTGCCTCAATTAATTTCAGATCCAGGATTTGCACTCAATAACTCCTGACCACTTCTTGGAAGTTAGTGGTGCAGTGATACACCCCCTTTCTTATCAACAGGTTTGTAGTTATACTTGCCAGCTTTTATAAAATGAGATTTATGTATTGCGGTTACAGAGTACATCTTAGAGCCATTGCTCGGTATTCTGCTTTTGCACTTGATCTTGCGACATCTTGTTTTATGCTTTTCCAAGACCTTAAGGTCTCACCAATCAAGAACAATACCCAAATGTGCTACTTTACAAACATCTCGCCAGCGCCACAATATCCCTCAATATTCGTACTTTGCTTATTTTGCTAATGCCTTTATCTTCACAGAGAAATCCTTGTCCTGATGTTTCCATGATATATCGTATAAATCATGTTAATCCATCATTCCAAAAAATACTAAAAATTACTTCGTAATATTTATGTTGGTCCTCGCGGTCAATGATTTCTTACGTTTTTTTCCTCTCTTTGACGCAGGCTAGAAATTTCAATTTTCCATGTGGCCTTGTCTATGTTGCAGAATCTGGGTTTGTCTTTAACTTTCTGCATGTCAATTTTTTTGTTGTTGAAGCTCTTGAAACTTAATTATGTAGTATATTATGCAATGCTTCTGGAATACATAAATCTCTACTAGTAGAATCTTTTATGTTATGCTGGTGAGGAATAGTAACTCGTGACCTATTTCCTATCACACTCATTGCAATTGCAGATATATGCTATTTAAAGCCGGAGTACCTAATCATTCCATCATTAAGAAATTTGCTGGCGAAGAGATTTCGAACCTTGTAGATTTAATATCTGTCCTATCCAAGTTGTCTAGGGGTTCTAGAGTACCACTGGAGTACATAAGCTATACTGATCCTCACCGAAGAAAGGTATTTGTGGTTCCATTTGAGACCATATTTTATTAACTGCTACTTCTTTACCATTACTTCTTGTTAACTAACATGTGGAACTCTTGCTTGATGCAGTCTGTATTAATCACGGTTGACCACCATGAGTGGTATGCGCCTCCTCAGATATACACTCGCGATGACAGTTCTGGATTATGGTTGGCAGAGTCGGCTTTATCACCTGACTCTGTTCTTCTTTCTGATGCAACTCCTGTCAAACAACACCTGTCACTTCATAATGTGTCTCAACATGTTAGCATAGAGTCAACCCATGGTGTTGCAGATATAGAAAGTAGTTATGAAATCTCGATAGATGCACCACAGTCTCAGGATGGAACAAAGAAAGCTAATGCCTCAGGTTCTGAGCATGTGATTGAGCCCACTCTTGTTATGTGTGAGGTACCTATTTGTGTATTTATTTCTCTCCTCGTGTTCTTTTGAAGTGGGACCAATCATCTTAGTGAACAAAAAATATTCAAAATTTGCAACCCCCCCCCCCACCGAACCATTTGTGTTGATCAATAAAATGGAAAATGGTTACTTTATTGCACACAACAGCAGAATGGTTAGTTCTTTACCTACTCATAACTCTTGCTATGAATCATACTTCTTTTACGCCTCTGTAAAAGTGGCTACAAAATTATTTGTGCACCTTCTGGATATAGTTTTTCCAGACTAACATTGAAGCTTTTTTTCGTCTTATTTCTTTTTATTATTTTAATTTATCTTAAGGTGACATGCAATTAATGATTATTTTAATAGTAGGATTTCAATTAATTTTACTGCTAAGAACTAGAAATCTAGATAGTTCTTGAAGTGTAATATGTATTGTTTTGGAAGTACTGTTTTCACTGTGATACTTGAGGTAATGGAGATGTGTGCTACAAAAAAATGGGTTTCCATGTTGGATGACTGTATGTGTAGCATTGCTAATTCGCTATGAGTGGTAAACCGAAATAGCAAAAATAATCTGCCTTAGGGAGTTATGGTGCAGCTTTAGACACCGGTTGCATGTTCGGCACAATGCTACATAAATGTAATGGAAGACAAAAGTAGATACTATTACCCTAAGGCAGATTATTTTTGCTATTTCTATTTACCTATTAACTGGTCATTTGGATGCGTGATGCTTATATTACTAGTTGCCTAGTTGGACATGTAGAATGTATTTTTTTTGCATTTTTTAGTTACTCTCTTTTTTTCTTCTGCATTTTGGTATGGATGGTTTGTAATCAAATATAGTCTTGGTTAATGTTTGTAATCTGTTTAGAAATTCTCCTGCAACCCAAAAAATGGCTATTGACTTTTGGTTATACACGCTATATTTGCATCTAGTTTTCAATGCATGATTCAGTCTCAAATTTGAAATGTATTAGGTACTGTTCAGGTATTTAAAGTCTATTCTTTTTAGAGACTACAAAAATTCCAGACCTGAGATATATGTGCTAGTCTTACAGCCTTTGTTCATTTGATCCCTGTTATGGTGTCAAATTTGTAGGTTGATGTGCCAACATCGTGTATGGTGGATGCTGTGCACTCGCAACATTTTTCTGGAACTGGTGTGATTGTATACCATTCACAAAATATGGGTTTGGTTGCTGTAGATAAAACCACTGTTGTAGCATTAGCTTCTGATGTCATGCTGTCATTTGCTGCTTTCCCAATTGAAATCCCTGGGGAGGTAGGCTTTGTAATTACTAGCATTTTTGGACTGAAATTTAAGTGTTATTTTATTTGTTTGTTTTTAAGCAGTTTGTGTTTCCAACAGGTGGTTTTCCTTGATCCTGTCCACAATTTCGCTCTTGTAGCATATGATCCTTCTGCTCTTGGACCTCTTGGCTACTCTGCAGTTCGTGCGGCTGAGCTTCTTCCCGGTAATAAAAAATTTATGCTCTTCTTCACAGTATATGGGTTTAAGGCACACTTTTCATTATAGTTTTAGATTACAAATTGGGAAAAGCTCACCTTCACTTTGTGGATTATATAAAAGATGAAAATGGTTATGCCTCTACTTTTTGCAATGCCCTTTTTTGGTCAAGAAAAAGTTTCCTCTACAGCCTTTTGGATTAGTATTTGTTTTTAAGTGGTGTTAGAGAAAGCTTAAAGTTTATATTACCTGAAATGATTACATTGTGTACTGGTAGTACTGGTCCTATATGACAGTGTTACTTTTATATATAACGCATTATGCAAACTTTGATTGGCTGTGAGCAGAACCCCTGCTTTGTCGTGGTGATCCAGTGTCACTTGTGGCATTAAACACAAGCCTGCAGGCAATCTCAAGGAAATCAATTGTTACAAATTCTTATGAGGCCCTGAATATTGAATCAGCTGAATGTCCACGGTATAGAGCAATCAACATGGAAGTTATTGCCCTTGACACTGGTGAGTTGGAATCTTTACAATGTTGGAATATTATTTGTTCCATTGTCTGGAGACATTTTTTAAATCCATGATATTGCCCTTACTGTTTCAGATTTTGGTAAACAATTTAGTGGTGTGCTGACTGATGAGCATGGAAGGGTTCAAGCCTTATGGGGATGCTTTTCATTTCAGGTTGGCATTTGTAACTTTGTGTCAAGGGAAATAACTTCCATGTTGATTGACTTATTTCTCATTTTGTAAGCTTTTTAAAAGGCTTTTCGTGGTAGCAAGTTTTGATAGATGTATTTGCATTAACAGCTGGATAAAGGTTCTGGTTCAAACTATTCCGCACAAAATGATACATTTAACCGTGGAATTCCAATTTTCGCGATAAGTCGTGTCCTTGACAAGATTATTTTGGGTACTTACGGACCTCATCGTCCTATATTTGGTGTCAAAAAGCCTATGCCACTTATGAGAATTTTGGAAGTTGAACTTTATCCTACTTTGCTCTCCAAGGCTCGCAGTTTTGGATTAAGTGATGCTTGGATCCAGGTAAGCCTATTCACACAATTTTATTTTTCTTTTTGCCTTGTGATACGATTTATGTTCGGGTAGGGGTCACTAGACTGGCCATAAGCCCATAACACACTTGGGCTGAACCACATCAAAAGATTGAATCCAATTGGTTACCTAGTTCCACTCAATGCGGGATACTTTAACACCTTGTTTCTTTGCTTGTGGTTGAGTTAACCAAAACTGTGATAAAATTAAATATTGACCTATTGTATTAGGCCCTCGTGAAGAAAGATTCCATTAGACGGCAAGTTTTGAGAGTCAAAAGTAGTTTTGCTGGCTCAAGTGCTGAAAAAGAATTAGAAGAAGGTGACATTGTGTTGGCCATCAACAAGGAGCCGGTGACTTGCTTTCGTGACATTGAAGAGGCTTGCCAATCATTAGGCCACAGCGATGAGAAACTGTGCATGACAATATTTCGTCAGGTCGGGGAACTTCAGCCAGCCTTTTCTTTTCTTATTTATTAATGCATGATTTCCCCTTATAACTCTCTCAATGCATGTCTTCTGTTAGGGGCATGAAATGGAACTACTTGTGGGAACTGATATAAGGGATGGGAATGGAACCACCCATGCAATGCTTTGGTGTGGGTGCTTTGTCCAATATCCTCACCCTGCTGTCCGCTCACTTGGGTTTCTTCCTCATGAAGGCCACGGAGTATATGTGTCAAGGTCAGAATTTTAAGAGGGTGTTTGTGAGTGTGTGGCGAGTTATTGAAAAAGCAGAAGTGCTAGATCAGAACTATGAGCTTTTTGATGAAAAGCAAAAAATCTAGAGCACAATTTACACCTTTAAAGTCACAACCCATAACCTTAAGCTGATTAGCAAACACTTAAAATTAAGTTTCATTGAAGTAGAAGCTCAAAAGTTATTTTCACACACACTCCCAAACACCCTCTATAGATTTCAGCCATCTAGCTGATATTTCAGTTTTGTGACACACATAAAACGTATGGTCATGCGTCATGTGTTTTCTTCAGGTGGTCTTGCGGGAGCCCTGGACATCGGTATGGCCTCTTAGCTCTTCAATGGATTGTTGAAATTAATGGGAAGCGAACTCCTAATCTTGAAGCTTTTATTGAGGTTACCAAGGTATTCGCTATTTCTTCCTAGCTAGTCCCCACTCCCCATCTAGGCTACTAAGCCTATTCTCGCCCGCCTTTGTCTCCCCCAACCAAAAGATTTTTGTATGTTTTTCAAGGTCGAAAGCACTTAAACGGGCTAAAATATGTATTTATTTTTGGTAATGGTGTATGACTAGGGGACATATTTTGAACATGTGTTGGTTTGATACTGAGAATGGTTAATTTTTTCAGGCATTAGAGCATGAGGAGTTTGTTCGTGTGAGAACGGTGAAATTGGATGGGAAGGAGCAAGTGCTTACTCTGAAGCAAGATTTGCACTACTGGCCAACCTTGGAGCTCAGATTTGACCCCGAAACCGCCACGTGGCGACGCAACATTATCAAGGCATTGGACTCTGGTGCCATGTAAAATGAACCAATTTCCTTTTCCTTGCTACTGAGTATATTTACATTTGTGCAAACGGGAAAGTATAAGCTTAGAATTTGATATTTCTTCTCTTTGAAAACTTTTTACAGGTCACATCCTTTGTGTTCATACTATTTGTCAGTCTAGATTTGATCTACCCATTCTTGAAAACAATCCATCAAGTTTATTTATTGTACATCATTAAAATAATAGTATAACACCTACTTGTAAGTATTATGTTCATGCAGAATAGGCAAAGTTTTTTTTTTTGTTTTGGAAATAGTGTTCCCTCTAAGTCCTTCCGAATATAGTTTATTTTCTAAGTATTTCTGTAGTTTCCAATATTTCGTATTAATTTTTCACTCACCCTTTTGTTCCAGTGTTTGTCTATTTTTCCTTTTTGATTGTCCCAATGTTGTTGTTGTTGATTGTCCCAATGTTTCCGTCCACTTTTCTTTATTAGTATGATTCAATTGTCCATTTTACCCTTCATCCATGTTTTCCAAATCGTCCCTCCTCCCCTCTTTTTTTCAACCTCCACGTACTATATGTCATCTCATTCCACTCAAAGCTTCATTTCAATTTGCTGCCTCAATTCCAAGCCTCAAAACTGCAAGTGTATATCAAATTGTCACAAAACAATAGTCCTATTTGGAGAAAAAACATGTTACTTCTACTTTATGAATATCTAAAAGTTATGTTTTACTCTTATTTTAACTGATTTCATTTAAAAATATACCTCGTAGTATCAAAACAACAACAACAACAATAACAATAATAATAATTGAAGAATTATGTATTTTCAATGATCCCTTTACAATATATTCACCTCCCCTTATATACATGTAGGAGGGTTAAGAATAAGGAAGCTGACATTAATGAGAGATCCTATACAATATGGAATCTACCATAAATAATAATAATATTAAATATGTAATATAACTTGACATATTTAACATGCTACCAACTCCGTCGGTGATCTTCGGACGCCAAGGTTGTGTCGGAAATCAGTGAAGAGAAGCGACGGTAATCCTTTTGTGAAGATGTCTGCGAACTGGGAAGAGGATGGTACATGAAGAACTCGAACCTGTCCTAGTGCAACTTTGTCTCTAACAAAATGAATATCGACTTCAACATGCTTGGTACGTTGATGCTGTACCGGATTTGAGGACAAATAGACAGCACTAATATTGTCGCAGAACACAATGGTGGCTCGTCGTAGTGGCTGATGAAGTTCAAGAAGAAGATTTCGAATCCAACTGGTTTCAGCAACGGCATTAGCTACAGCTCTGTATTCTGCCTCAGCACTAGATCTAGAGGTGGTGGCTTGCCGCTTGGAAGACCATGAGACCAAGTTGTCCCCTAAGAATACACAATAACCAGAGGTGGACCGTCGCGTGTCAGGGCACCCTGCCCAGTCTGCATCAGAGTAAGCCTGAAGAAAATCCGTGGAGGAACGAGAGAGAGTGATCCCATGAGTGACTGTACCCTGAAGATAGCGGAGGACCCTTTTTAAGGCTGTAAGATGGGTCGTCCGTGG